GTCCATGAGGAGTGGAGTGCAGTTTTCCATCCCAGCAGAACCCTGGATTTAAAAATGGGAGCATGTGGCAGGAGGCCCTCTGGATAACTGAACCTTTTGGGAAAGGTCACCAAATACAGACCCAAACCGATTGGAGGTCTGGGGTCTGGTTAGTGGGGGAAGATATGTGACATATGCTCTGTACTTTTGCCATGGACTCCTGGAGGAGTGTCGAAACCGGCCTCCTGCCCACCAACTATGGTCAAGGTCTGAGACACTGTTTGGAAGTTACCCTGCCCAGCCGCCATTAGCAGACTTCCCTGGGTGCCCCTGGTTCAGCACTTTTCCTTCTCACGAATGGAACCGAACGCTAGCTCCCTGGGGGCTGTTTGCATGAATCAAACCCACGAATGGTCCTCAGCGGTAGTTAGCCGCGACCGCTATAGAAGTAATTCCACAATGAGGACTTAGTGGATCCCCGATCACCTCGGCAGGACTAAGCCGCAAATGTTATGAAACTGTTTTAGTCATGAGGTGACCGTGCAGTTCCTGGACAACTTGGTCTGGGATTTTGAACCACTTTACAAGCTGCCAGTAGAGCACTTTTTGGAGAGAAGGTGCCTGAGACTAGGGGAACAAATGCTACCTGAGAGCCAGGCGGAGCACCCCGTATTTCGGACACAGGAGCTCCTTGTAGTTGACCCTCAAAAGCACCAAACGCTCTGGAACTACTTTGGGCATAGGACCACGTGTGCAGCCGGTCAGAACTTTAACACGGTGGCGTTTCCCCTACACTGCATGGATCTGAGCGATATTTGGAGAACTTGGGCACCCAGATCAGGGCTATTTGGGGATGTATTATTTGTGGGGTTACTGTATATTTTTAGAGGGAATAGAGCTAGTCCCCTATCCTGTTCCAGAATGGAGAGGCTCCAGGAGGACCCCAGTCAAGCCACAGCGACAGGGGCAGAAGAGCCGCACTTTTCCCTGGTTCCATCTAGGAAGTGATCCTGGGCGGAGGTACCCGGTCGGGGTACAGTGAGCTTTGCTGGGTTTTTTACCCAGGGCAGCTAAAAACCATCCAAGTGTATTTTCACTTTATACACTTAAAAAAATATATAAAAATCCAAACATTAAAGGATGACAGTGCACACTATTATATTTACCTTTTCAATATAAAATCATAAATAAATCCTGTATAATACAAACATAAAAACATAGTGTAGTATATATAACCAAAATAGGGTAGTGCAGTAAATTGGCTGTGGTGTCAGGAGTGCACTGGTATGATCAGAGGGTTAAAGGGACAGTTTAGACACCATAACAACTTCATCTAAATGAAGTTGTTATGATGCCAGGAGGTCTCTGGACGTACTCTAACCTCAACTCTTACCTCCAGGCCGCATTTGGTTTCTGAAATTTCAGTGGTCATCTGCCACTCAGTGACTACCCATTCACAAAACTTACTTGAAAAGAAAAATACCTTTCTCAAACCAGTTCTGACCGCTCTTTGCCAACAGCAGGACATCTATTGTGAGATCCAACCATTTATTTCATTTTTGAATGGACTTTATATTTTTGTTGATTTTTGTGTGCTGGATTTTTTAGAATCTTTTTTTCTTATAACAATAATTTAAATGTGGGACTATAGAGATACAGGGAGTGCAGAATTATTAGGCAAGTTGTATTTTTGAGGATTAATTTTATTATTGAACAACAACCATGTTCTCAATGAACCCAAAAAACTCATTAATATCAAAGCTTAATATTTTTGGAAGTAGTTTTTAGTTTGTTTTTAGTTTTAGCTATGTTAGGGGGATATCTGTGTGTGCAGGTGACTATTACTGTGCATAATTATTAGGCAACTTAACAAAAACAAATATATACCCATTTCAATTATTTATTATTACCAGTGAAACCAATATAACATCTCAACATTCACAAATATACATTTCTGACATTCAAAAACAAAACAAAAACAAATCAGTGACCAATATAACCACCTTTCTTTGCAAGGACACTCAAAAGCCTGCCATCCATGGATTCTGTCAGTGTTTTGATCTATTCACCATCAACATTGCGTGCAGCAGCAACCACAGCCTCTCAGACACTGTTCAGAGAGGTGTACTGTTTTCCCTCCTTGTAAATCTCACATTTGATGATGGACCACAGGTTCTCAATGGGGTTCAGATCAGGTGAACAAGGAGGCCATGTCATTAGATTTTCTTCTTTTATACCCTTTCTTGCCAGCCACGCTGTGGAGTACTTGGACGCGTGTGATGGAGCATTGTCCCGCATGAAAATCATGTTTTTCTTGAAGGATGCAGACTTCTTCCTGTACCACTGCTTGAAGAAGGTGTCTTCCAGGAACTGGCAGTAGGACTGGGAGTTGAGCTTGACTCCATCCTCAACCCGAAAAGGCCCCACAAGCTCATCTTTGATGATACCAGCCCAAACCAGTACTCCACCTCCACCTTGCTGGCGTCTGAGTCGGACTGGAGCTCTCTGCCCTTTACCAATCCAGCCACGGGCCCATCCATCTGGCCCATCAAGACTCACTCTCATTTCATCAGTCCATAAAACCTTAGAAAAATCAGTCTTGAGATATTTCTTGGCCCAGTCTTGACGTTTCAGCTTGTGTGTCTTGTTCAGTGGTGGTCGTCTTTCAGCCTTTCTTACCTTGGCCATGTCTCTGAGTATTGCACACCTTGTGCTTTTGGGCACTCCAGTGATGTTGCAGCTCTGAAATATGGCCAAACTGGTGGCAAGTGGCATCGTGGCAGCTGCACGCTTGACTTTTCTCAGTTCATGGGCAGTTATTTTGCGCCTTGGTTTTTCCACACGCTTCTTGCGACCCTGTTGACTATTTTGAATGAAACGCTTGATTGTTCGATGATCACGCTTCAGAAGCTTTGCAATTTTAAGAGTGCCGCATCCCTCTGCAAGATATCTCACTATTTTTGACTTTTCTGAGCCTGTCAAGTCCTTCTTTTGACCCATTTTGCCAAAGGAAAGGAAGTTGCCTAATAATTATGCACACCTGATATAGAGTGTTGATGTCATTAGACCACACCCCTTCTCATTACAGAGATGTACATCACCTAATATGCTTAATTGGTAGTAGGCTTTCGAGCCTATACAGCTTGGAGTAAGACAACATGCATAAAGAGGATGATGTGGTCAAAATACTCATTTGCCTAATAATTCTGCACTCCCTGTATATAGCCATACATACACAACTATCAGATGGTTCCACTGGACTATGTAATGGTTATTGCCATAAATTTGTCTCTGAACTTATGTTGTTGATACACTTTGCCTATTGATTATGTCACATGTAGGAGTAAGAGAAGGAGGTACCTATAAATTACATGTAATCTACCACACTATTGGGAAGTTATGACACGGATGGATTTGATGGACCCGTGCTTTGCATATATATATATATATATATATATATATATATATATATAATGCCAATTTTTGCACCCTTCTAAGTAATAGCATGTACAGATTATTTTTGGCATAGGCCGTCATGCAGTAAAGCTACCAGCAGGAGTTGAATTCCTGCTAGTTCCAAGAACCTCCAGGTATTTTCCAATATCTGGGGTCCCCTCTGTCAGCAGAGGCCACTGTTTGTGGAGGGCTCTGCCAGCTACCCACCACCGATCTACAGGGTGGCCAATAAGTTCCTACCCATCCAGCACACAGATACATTGGATACATGGATGGGTAGGGACTAATGGGCCACCCTATGTGTGTGCTGCAGAATGAGTGAGAGCTCTCTCAGTCATGCTGCAATCATACAGTACAGAGTTCTCACAGTACTGACATCAGCAGAGGGATTCCTTGAAAAGTGGGATTAGGACTGAGATTATAAGTAGGAATATAGGTTAGATAAGGGTCAGATAAGCATCCGATTATAAATAGGATTAGGGGTAGGAAAAGGGGTTAGAGTAGAGGAAAAGCTATATATGTGGGGTATCATTCAAAGAACTGCCCCCCACCAATTTAAATTTTCCCCACCCCTTCCTGTCAAGGCCGCACTTTGACTGACAGACGATTACTCATTGACAGATACACACTCTCATATACACTGACAAACAATGACATACACACACACTATTACTTGGACAAACATTGACAGACGCACACATACACATTTCTCCCAACACTCACAAATTATTATTTTTATATTTTATTGAAAATATATTTTCAATCCACCCAGCCTCCCTGGGAGAGCTGGAGTGGATTCCTTACCTGTGGTCCAATGGGGCTGCTGGGCAGGCAGGCTGAGTAGGTGGCAAGGAGCTCTGATTTTCCTGCTCAGCTTCCTCGTGCCGCTTAGTGATGCCGGAGTGACGTCATAGTCCATCTCCCGGCTTCATTAAGCAGCGCGGAGGGAGCTGAGCAGGAAGAGCTCAGGTGAGTATGCTCCTGCCCGCCTGAAGGGGGGGAGCTCAAAAGTGGCCAGCCAGCTAGCTCTTGAGCCACCCAGAACACACAAGGGATCTGCCTGGGCGTTTGGTTGGCTTTTTTTGCCACAGACTGCAAAGTGCCGCCCAAAGCAGATGCCTTGTTTGCCTCGCGGAAGACACGTCCCTGCTGCCAACCCAGCGGTGTATGCCTTACATTATAGAATCCCTTTAAGGCCAGATTGGTCACAGCTAAAGCTTAGTTCACTTAGATAATTTTTCCTGCTGGGCTATTTGACTTTAAATGTAAGATTCCCTGCCTCTGTGCCTGTAACATGTATCTCCTGGCCCCCGAATAACGTGGAGAGGCAGTAACACGCTTTTGGGTTTTTGAATCTCGCGCAATTTAAAAGCCGGATCGCGCTGGGTGATGACGTCGGAGAGCGCGTGCTCTTCGTGACCCACGGCTCGGGGCATAGAAAGAAAGAAAGAAAGAAAGAGAATCAGAACGCGCTCACGGATTGAGCCCAGCGAACACCCGTCACCAGCCCCTTAGGCGTGCCAAGCCCTGGGAGGAAAGGCAAGAGACGTGACGTCGACAGGTGGGCGGGGACTAGCAGTTCCATAGCGTTTCTGTATGGTGAGCGCTATGGGGAGCATGAGAGGGAGCGGGCAGCGGCGAGGAAAGTTTCACCGGGACTAAATGCATGTGCTTCAGCCAGCTCCCCCTCACACGGCGCAGAGTTCCCGCAGTCCCCGTCCTATGTGGAACAGGCACTCCCACAGCAGCTCGATTCACTCCTTGCTCTGATCGCAAGTTGGTTCCCCATGGAGGCGTCCGCAGCCGGCTCGGGCAAAGCCACCTCTGGCTCCAGGAGTGCTGGCAAAGGGAGCTGCGATGGAGGAGTCGCCAGCCCCAGCTCGGGTTGCCTTGGGCTACCAGTATGTGGCCACAACTCGCCCACCTGTCTGGAACCGCAGTCTGAGTACAAGTTGGAGGACTTTGATACTGTAGCTACTGTGGGTGAGTCCTGATCTGGCTTCCCAATCATACTACACACTGTCACTTATTATAAAAAAAAAAAAAGACAGACAAGTTTGGGCAAACCAAGTGGCTGAGCATGATGGTCATTGCATTCCATATTATGGTTTATTGATTCTTTTCTTAGAATTCTGGATAGGCTTGGCTGTCCAGCTTGTTGAGCATCCTGTGACATGTAGTCTTTAACATCTGTAACACCAAGAGAGCCCTAGTCAAATACAGCTGTATTGTACAAAGGTTTGTGAACTACAAGCATCAAATAAGGATGGGATCCACAATCTGACCATGGTTAGACATGTAGCCGGCAATGACTTAAGTTCCAGCTCCTTGTAAATCTACCAGTGTGGTCAGTGACATATGATGTAGCATGCTGAACTCCCAAAGGCTTATATGAGCACAGCTGTAGCAATTTATTGATCTGATCTGGGACATTTCAGGGTTAATAGGGAACTCAGAATAATCAAAGTTAATATTGCCACCTCATGTGTTCATAAACTAAATAGAAGGCTGGCTGAGCATAGTGAGACATGTAGTTCATAAAGATCCGAGTTGCCAGTGCGAGCCATCAATAGTGCATTAGCGGTTTCTTTTGTGTGGTGGACGGATCTAGATGGTAAGACAAAGCATGTCCACCCGTTCCTTCAATTATACACCAATGCTATTCATTATAGCTCCAGAACTAAAATGCTTTCTCAGAGGTTGGCTCACATGGAAGTGATGGCTCTTTGCTTGGCTGAGCATTGTGGGAAATGAAGTCCACAGCAGTTGATGTGCCAAAGGTTAGGCATCTCTGGTGACAGCTGCTTTATCCAACACAAAGACATTCCCTTAAACCTTTGTCTCTGCAGTGTACTTCATTTCAGTGCTCGCCTCTGTCCTGTCTGTGTAAGGTTGTATGGGTTTTGTGGCTGTTTAAGAAAGTCATTTTCCACTAGTGTGATATTTTCTCTATTTTTGTTTATTTTTTTGCCTTTTGGCTCAATATTCCTGAATTTTATATAGAGTAGTTTTTTTTTTTTTTTTTTTTACTCCATGAATTGCCCAGTTAATGTTCAGCTTTACAATGGCATAAGGGGCAGTGGATGAGTGCTTCTGCTAACATGACCCAATTGTTTTGTTTTTGTTTGAATAGCACTTGAGGACAAACACAAATATTGTCATATCCAATTGAATCATGCGTGAACACGCCTTTAGCATGCATCTTGCTCTAAAAGTATATTTATGGAGCTTGACTCTGTGGTAATTTTAGTTGTGTATAAAAACATTTTAGGTAGTGAAGTAATCCAGGTTTAATTATTTTAATCATTTACGAAGAAAAAAAACACTATTAGTTCAAACTGGAAGATGAAACATGATGTTTTGTATAGTTCTTAAATATTAACATCTCTATAATATGATAGCTCACTTAACTACTTGTAGTATGTTTCTCCCTTGGCACTGGTGAAAAGTGTGGTTTTATTGATACTTATTGGTTTTACAAAGCTGCCTTGTAGCTGTGCATTTTCAGTCTGGTGTCTGTTCTATACTTTTGCATAAGACCTTTTAAAATATACAAAGTTATAAAATGAGGAAGACTAGCATGCAAAGTGAAGTATAACACAGTAGCAAAAAAGTAGCCAGTTCAATAGTTAAGAGTTCTAAGTCCATATTATGTAGATATTGTTCTTGGAGGAATAGTCTAGCCATGTCTGACGCACATGCATTTAAAATTTTCCCCAATATCATAATGTGGGACCCAAAACCTCCTGCGTAAACTGCTTGAGTAGTTGTTTGTAGATATCCCCTGTCCTCTCTGGGCTGCACTAATAAAGTTTCACATTGAGTGGAGTGGACATTTTTCGTTCCACAAGTGTAAGAATATTATTGGGGCATCTGAACATTATATTTCTCTCTCTTATTTAATTCAATGTATTTTATATATTGTCTAAGTTCCAGGACTTTAATACATTTGTGGCTGATATCTGGATAGACCATATTGATTTACTTTATTGTACAACTCTCCAACCCCCATTCAACTATGAACTCAAGTTCTGACAGTTGAATTGGCTTTTCAGCTGGATTTTGTGGGAACTTGCTACTAACTCAGAAGCAAGTTCAGCAGCTTTTCCTTGACTTAAGAAAATTGACAGTTTCTGTGGTGTCCACCAAAATGTGACAAAGTTCAAAGCACAGAGACAGACTTCTTCAGCCAGGCGATCTCCCCACCACTGAATTTCTCAAATGAGACTTCCAATCAAATTTTTTTTTATTTTTTTTAAATCGTAAACATATGCATTGTAGGCATGTGGTGTATTCATGGCTACCACCACAATCTGCTAATCAAGTGCTTCACTATAAGAAGTATTGTATTGAATACAATACATTTGTGAGAAACGTTAAATATACTAACATTGTCAGCATACGTTGCATGCTTACTCTGGATATCAAATAGATTCAGTTATCCCATAACCACCATCTGAATGGCAGTCAAAAGAGATGGAGATATTGCAAAATTTAATCTGTCCCGTTTATAAAGCTGCCAAAAATCACTTAAAGGCGATTTTTGGTGCTTAGACTGTCCCATTAAAGATTGTTCTTGTCACAAGTAATACTCATTTCTATTGAACAATATTTAAAGAGACATTATAGTCACCAGAACAACTACAGCTTATTGAATTTGTTCTTGTGAGTAGAATCATTACCTTCAGGCCTTTTGCTGTAAACACTGTCTTTTCAGAGAAAATGCAGTGTTTACATTACAACCTAGTGAAAACTTTACTGGCCACTCCTTAGATAGCTGTTAGAGATCCTTCATGGGTCATGGCTGCCTAAAATGCATCCAAACATTCAGTGTCTCCTCCCTCTGCATGCAGACACTGAACTTTCCTCATAGAGATTAATTGAATCAATTAATCTCTATGAGGAGAAGCTGATTGGCTAGGGCTGTGTTTGCATTGTGCTGGCTCTGCCCTTGATCTGTCTCTGTCAGTCTCAGCCAATCCTATGCGGAAGCATTGTGATTGGATGAGGCTACCACTTCTGATGATGTCAGTGGGCAGGTCAAAAGGAACCAGGGACAAATTAAACCGCTCCAGACTTGACTACAAGTACAATTTTACTATATTTAGGGAGGCATTATGGGGAGAGGGGGGGCTAGATGGTGGTTTTAACCCTATAGGGTCAGGAATACATGTTTGTGTTCCTGGCCCTATAGTGCTGCTTTTATAGGATAGTCTAAGCACCAAAATCACCTTTACTTAATGAAGTGATTTTTGGCAGCCTTGCAAACATAACTAGTGCAGTTTTTGACAATCATGGTTATTCTGCTACTAAACTGTTTGATATTTAAAGGACCACTCTAGGCACTCAGACCACTTCAGCTTAATGAAGTGGTCTGGGTGCCAGGTCCAGCTAGGGTTAACCCATTTTTTCATAATTATAGCAGTTTCAGAGAAACTGCTATAATTATGAATGGGTTAAGCCTTCCCGCTAATCCTCTAGTGGCTGTCTCATTGACAGCCACTAGAGGCGCTTGCGTGCTTCTCACTGTGATTTTCACAGTGAGAGCACGCAAGCGTCCATAGGAAAGCATTGTAAAGGTTTTCCTATGCGACGGGCTGAATGCGCGAGCAGCTCTTGCCGCGCGTGCGCATTCAGCCGGCGGGGAGGATCGGAGGCAGAGAGGAGGAGGAGGAGAGCTCTCCGCCCAGCGCTGGAAAAAGGTAAGTTATTACCCCTTTCCCCCTTCCAGAGCCGGGCGGGAGGGGGACCCTGAGGGTGGGGGCACCCTCAGGGAACTATAGTGCCAGGAAAACGAGTATGTTTTCCTGGCACTATAGTGGTCCTTTAAGGTAAAAACCAAAAGGAAAAAAGTTACCTGCACTCTCTCCTTAATCCGTATGCATATTTAAACAAATAGAGGTAATTTAGTTACTCCAATGGCTATTGGAGTGAATGCCCACCTGCCAATGTCAAGGCAGATCCCCCTCCCCCCCCCTCCCTTAACGGGTCCTACACTGACCCTTCACCTTGCTTCCTTGAGCTTCTGGTAAAGACATCTCTATTGAAACAGAGAGGGGTAATTTATTTATTATTATTTTTTTTATTTTTTTTATACACCCCTATATACTTACAAAAAGAAAAGTCCTGCGCTCACTCCCATCACTCCTGGGCGGCAGCAATGACCACAGTACACATCAGCTCCAATACATATAGTAAAAAAGTTACCTGCGCTCTCTCCTTAAAACCTATGTATATTTAATCAAATGGAGGTCATTTAGTTACTCCAATGGCCACTGGAGGGAATGCCCGCCTGCCCACATCAAGTCAGACCCACCTAGACGGGTCCTACTCTGACCCTTCACCTTGCTTCCTTGAGCATCTGGCAAAGATATCTCTGAGACAGAAAGGGGTATTTTTATATACACCCCGATATACTTATTAACCCTTAATAGGGAACACATGGGATGGGCGGCAGAATTTGACCTCCATTTGTTTAAATATACATCAGGATTAAGGAGAGAGCGCAGGTAACTTTTTTTTCTTTGGTTTTTACTGTATGTATTGGAGGTGATGTGCACTGTGGTCGTTGCCGCCGCCCAGGAGTGATGGGAGTGAGCGCTGGACTTATCTTTTTGTATTTGTTTGATATTAAACATGTCTTCCCGGGTGGTTGTCATGATAAGACCTGTTTTGGTCTCTGACTCTTCTTCATTGCCATAGTAAGGCACTATTATTTTAAATGTGCAGTTGGTGTGATATATAAGGGCACATTGTTCCAAATGTAGCTTTTGTAGTAATTCACATTGATTAAATTCAGGGCAATTTAGGATTAGAACTCATGAGGAAGTTGTAAGGATGAGGAAGTTGTAAATGTTCTGTAGAAAATACCTAGGCAAAGTTCCTCATTTAGTAATTAAGAGCAGCACCTACGGCTACAGGAGTTACTAAATGCCATACGTAAACTCTAGAATGTTTTTGTTTACTGTCAGCAAAAGTTTAAGA